TCCTGCTGCAATTACAGTCACTTACTCCCTTGCATTAGTGCATATTCATAAAAATGGTCACCCACTTTGCTGAATCAAATCTTGTTTAAAAGTCTCAAAACAACTCTCAACGAAATCTCACCTTTTCACATCGAAAATTTCAAGCAAAATCTTGGTCATCCTAAATTAATTGTTGGCAAGGACTTCGGTAATTTAAAGAAACAAAGAAAAGGGTATTTTTTTTCCTTTCAAAAAAGTGTAAAAAGTTTGGAATTGAAACCCATCTTAATCTTAAAGTTTGGTCCCACTAAAAGTGGTCACCTTTCTAAACCCCATACAAGCCTAAACGCCACATACACATCCTCTTAACTTTCTTCTCCACCTTACTCAAATGATCATAATAATGCAAACCCCAAACCCATAATTGGTCCCACTATGTGCCCCCTAGACAACCACCGTGGATGACCCCACAAGGGTACACATCATCTAAGCATGTGTCCCAACTTCATGGCACAACTAGGTCCATCTTTGTTTCAAGTCTTAATGAGATTTGAGGGACATGTTGACCCCACTAAGCCCTTAACTGCAAGACAATGTGACATAAGTTGGCAAGGAACAAGTGAACTTTAGCCGCCATACTTGCTTGCATGCGCAAGTTTCAGCATACATGAATGAATGAATGGATGAAGCGAATTGGCACACAAATAAGTGTTGCAAATTCATTTCACAAGAGTGTAGACTACTAATAATAATCATCCTAGAAGTGCAACTGTACCATGCGCACAATATTTGGTGAAATTGTAGCTTCAAGAGGACCCCACCTGGCTGCAACATCAAATTTTGGAAAGCCTTCCCTCATAATATTCATATTTAGTGCATAACCATGAAAAGTGGTGGATGCTTCATTCATTTTCTGTGACAAAATCTTAGATTTTTCTGTTAAAGTTGAAGTTTTATTTTTACATTCTGTACAATAAAAAAACTCATCAAATGATAAACATCTAATTTTTTTTTATTCATAAACATGATTTATGCAGTAAAATTCTAATTCTGATCAAAGAATAACATTATACTTGCATCTAAGTTTTATTATTATTTTTTCTTCTATTTTTTTTACTTTTTAAAAAAAAAATTTGTATATCTCTGATTTTTGGCTAGCTCATGGTTAGAGCTGAATTGGTGTGGGTCTGATACGTTTTATTCTTTTCTTTTGACATTTTCATCTCTCCTACAAATGTGATAAACAGGAACTTATTAATCCTGTGTACTCAATAGTATTGAATGAAATAAACAAACCAATATAAGCACAACACTATTAATTTTTTAATACCCCACCTCAGGTGTTAATTGATTGTGAGACTAAGATATAGCAGTTCTGATCAAAGTAGAATCTTGATGATTGTATGAACATGCTTAACAAAATTTTAGGATAAGTGCATGATTAGTAATAATAAAAAAGGTTTTAATATTTAACTACATTAATTCAAATAAGTAATTAAATGTATATCAACAAAAGATATATAATTGTTGCGAAGGATCAAGGATGGTTCCCACAAGAATCATTCCTCGCAGGTGTGCTGAGATTTTTTGAAACAAACAAAACATGTTCTGAGCTTTTAAGTGGCCAATCTCTTGAAAATAGAAAGTGCATAATAAAAAAAATATATTTTAATTGATTATTTGAAATGTTTAACGTGAGACCTCGAGCCCTGGCAATGGCAGAACAAAATCTAATCTATCTCTAAAAGGTAGAGATACTGGATTGGCATTTGGCATATACCTACATATATATACACATGGCACATCATTCCTTCCTCTTGTGCTTTAACAAAACCAAATCTCTTGCATTGCGTCCTCTG